ATTGCGTTGGCATTTTTAGCGCAATTTTTAGGAGGACTACTTCAGGTAATGCTCATTATTACTCTTCGATGCGTAAGATTGAAGGCAATAAAATAAATTCTTATTTTCGTAGGCTTCATTAACTATTTTTGGAGTAGTCGGGGGTCCATTGTTGGGTGTTTTCACGCTTGGTATGGGTACTGAATCGGCAACGGAAAGCGGTGCAATAATCGGTGCTCTCACAGCATTCTCATTTTTATTCTGGATAGTCTTCGGTCAGCCACGTCCAATACCACCTAAATTACCTACTACTATCGAAGGCTGTGATAATGTTGCAAATATAACAATGTCCGTTTTACAGAACGTCACGAGCTTCTCTAAGTAATTGATTTATCAAATAATAGTTACTGCATGGAAGAAAACGGTTTTGCTGAAGAATATAAAAATTAGAAACACAAATCTGAAACACAAATCTGAAAATTATATTGATTTATTGGAATAGTTAGAACGTTTAAACTTGTTGCTATAACGTCAAAACTTTTTGTGGAATTTATCATCACTTAATTGTCTTCTATAAATTTGATGATGCAGCATAATATACAGAAAATTGCTCGCATTATAACAATAACTGCATTGGCAGCAAATTGACTCAGATATAGCAACAGATCCTGTGGTCATCATGTACGTCTACATTAAACTTATATTTTGCCTACCGATGTAATCTATCAGTAAATTGTCGACAAAAACTAAACAGAATTTGTTATTTTGTAAATATTTGAATGAAATATTATTTAAATCGTTACTGCTCAGATTCTGCTGAGTTTCTGCTTTAATTTCTGCAATCAATTTGCCATTACATTTTGTTATATTCTTGCAGATCTATTGATAAAATTTATTACAGACACTACCAAATTCCCATACAGCAAAAATATTCCATATCTTTCAGACATTGCGATCTTTATGCTGTTTTTGTATAATTTGAACATTTTTGTTTTTAATGGATTTGTTTTTAACATATTTTACTACGGGTAGTTTCAGATATACGATATATGGTTCACTTTTTATACTCTTGAGCAAAATCGTTTTTTTTTTGTGTATATTACGTATACGAGGTCGTTTAACGTATTATCATATTTTTTTCCAGAAGCACCGGTGACAGTTCATACTTCTATCTGTATCGTATTTCGTACATGTGGTATTCACCCCTAGGATTCTTAATAACATTTATACTTGGACTGGTTATTAGTAACCTATCTCATTTGTTTTTCAAGAAACAAAACGAAGAATTAGACACTAATTTATTCTTTCCCGTGTTAGCGCGGCGTATATATTATAGGCGATGCATGGATGTAGAGAATGAAAGAAATTCTTCATTAAATAGAAAATATTCTCTTACCGACGTAATTCATGGGAAAGACGATGCCGCTGATAAAATCTGTACAAAACTTTAATAGTTTAATTGTAATCTTAGCTAGGTATTATAAATACTCCGTACTTATAATCGAAAAAATTGATGTTTAAGTCACAAGAGAGGGAAGAAAGAAAATAAAAATATTTTTATCATCTCGTGGGACCTAAATAATAATTCCAGCAATTTTAGGAAAACTAGTTAGCATCTATGACTTAAGGATAAGAATAGAACCCTTTGTAGGTATTTGTGAGAATAACTTATTTGCAGTTTATTATTTTCTTTAGATAACTTTATTTTAGTACATAAATTCAGTTGGATAATTGTATATGTCGAATTGCAACATAAATGTTATGTTTTTCATGCTGCGTTCTGGCACTGCCAGTTAGTACTCTGTGTAGAAATAGAAATATCTAAAAGAGTAAATATACGTATTTATGTAAAAATTTGGCAGTGAGACATATTTCTTTGAACTTTAGTTCCTTTATACGCATAATTTTTAGACGTACTTAAAGGGAATCTCTCTCTTAAACAGTCTTGACAATATTTAGCGACATAAGACAATAGAAAAAAATAGCTTTAAGGCATTACGCTTGTATCATCTACGGCGGCTGTAGTATTTATGTAATCTTCTAACGATAAGGAAAAATTTTACTTTACTTATTATGCATAATTATACCAATTATGTATAATAATAGTTTAACCGGCCAATAATAGTCATCTGTGGTATTTGTATACTCCAGTTGTACGAAAATATGAATTGTAAAATGTATATTATTTTCTTTTTTTTTTGGAAATACTTTACTTTTTTAAATAACTTCTTTACAACTATTCATTGCAAGTTCTTACATTTTGACTTAAGAATGTAAATTTGAATAATATTACGGCCGTATCTTACTTTAAATAATTTTTAGTATTTAGTATAAATAGAAACAAAGGGCTAATGAGAGTACAATCGCGGTAATTCTTGCGATGATTGAATTTATTACATATTACTATAATTCAGACGTTTCGGCCTTCATTCGATTGTTAATCGTTGTAATGTTTGCATGATATACCACGTTCTCAAATTTTAATATGGACAAGCTGCGGATTTTTATTAATTTTAAGTAATTGTTCATGGCTGTACGGAATACATCTTCGATCGTTGCTACTAGTTTAGCCAATCTTGTATCACGAATTGGTGTAGATGGAATGAGTGGTCACTCTCTCGTTTAGCCATAGATATCAACATTTATTATTTGGTCAGATACACTGAGGATGGCTCGAATGAAGGCCGAAACGTCTGAATTATAGTAATATGTAATAAATTCAATCATCGCAAGAATTACCGCGATTGTACTCTCATTAGCCCTTTGTTTCTATTTATGACATTTTCGAGAGTTATTGTTATCAATTTATATTTAGTATAAAATTTTATAAGTGTGTAACAATGTTATTAATATTTAAGGAACTTCATGGCCAATAAATCATATTTCAAAGAGTATTAAAAATTCAATATTTATCTAAATAAATAGTTTTTTTGTGTTAAAAATACGATTGTGTTTTGTAACTATTGCTTGTCAATATCAATTTAGACGATAAAATTGCAGTTTTACATTAAAGCTCGACTGAAACACGTAAATGACTTTTAAAATTTCCACCGAAAAACTTCTCAAATATCTTATAAAAATATGATCTTTAGAATATTTTATATTTTAAATTTACAAAAAAATATCTTTATATTTTATGAAAAAATTTAGGAAAAAATTCCTAAAAAAAATATTTTCAATTTTTTCAGATTTTAGAAGTTTTGTCAAAAAATTATAGAATAAGATATTTTAGAATATTTCAAATTCACACACATTTATAAAATATACTCTAGAAAAAAATAAAGACTACTTCCTCAGCACTTAAAAAAATATTCCAATATGTATAAAAAAGATTAGAAATTTTCTAAACGGTTATACAGTTATGTATTTATAAATTCTAGAAAAATCTTAATAATTTACATGGAAAACTTAAAAATTATATAAAGAATTTTACGAAAGATTATCACCAAGGATTATTTTACATTAATTACTAGGAAATATTAATTCAAGTATGATAATTATTTTCAGCAATTATTAAGAAATAAACAATATTGACATAATATATATTACAACAATAATAGCAAAGTGCTAAACGTCTGAAGAAGTTAAATAAACACTACATATATATATAGACGCGCTACTTATAAAGTTAGACGTTAAATATATATATGTTTAAATTAATTTATCTTAGAAATATGACTGCGCACTGATTACTTTCAACATAATCAATCTGAAATATTAATAATCCCCCAAATTTAATCCTGAAACCTGTAAAAGAACTTATTGTGAAAAATATTAATTATGATATTAATTGCAATAAAACTTCTCCAGTACGTCACATATCGTGATGAAATACGTAAAAATAGTCCTTTCCTGCAAATTAAATTACAAATTTCTTAAAATTGTAACGTAATAAAGCAAGTTAAAAAATGCATTCGGTCATTCAGCACACACATCCAAAAAATTATTAAAAATAACTAGTCTTGTTCTAGTAAAAAGTAATTTTTTGTGGAACAGTGTAATCTTTCCCGTATTAAAAATGCACTATTTTTGTGGTTATTTTTTACACTATCAATTTAGATGATAAATTGCAGTTTTACATTAAAATCGAATAAAACGCGAAAACCATTGTGAAATTTCTAATGAAAATTCTAGCATCTTATAATATTTTTATAACTATATATGTATTTTTAATTCTGAAGATTTATAAAAAAATTTCTTAAACTTCTACAGATTCTATAAGTTGTCTTCAGAAATTATAAATTAAAAAAGTTTTAGAATATATTTCAGAATTCACATTTACAAATTATTCTAAGAATAAATGCAGACTTGATATTTTGTATTAAACAGATGTAAATAAATGTCGATCAGGAATTATCATTTATTAATATAAATTTATGATGGATAGTTTTTCTTAACAGTTAATAGAGATCGTCTATAAATGGCTGATCAATTATTGGCTACAAAGTCAATATATATATATAATTTCAGGATGTGTAATGAAAATAAAAAACGCATCCTGTTTTCTATCTTATTTTCATGTCGCGGCTTTGCTGCGCAGCTTTATCTATAACGCAACAACTATCAACTTCTTTCGAAATGCTCACAATATCCAGGCGACAAAAGAATGGAAAAAGGAAAAAATTTCAGCCTTATGCAAAATGATGGTACACCATCGCACGATGGTGGAGGGGAACAAACCAAGGTGACAGCGGAAAGCTTCTGGTTCGTTCGGATTGATACGCCAGATTGAACTAACGCCGGTCAGTTGAAACCAGTTTCAATTTATGCGACTCTGCCGGACCACCGATCGGGGCTCTCAATGGGTCCTTTTTAATTATTTTTCCACTGAAACCTTGTTAGTTGGTAGGCGGGGGAGGAGCGAGAAAGAAAGACTATATAACAACGTCCGGTTCAAGTTTTCTTCCTGAACCGAATGACGTTTGTTAGGATAATCAATTAAGTCATCAACGTAACGGCAACGAATGCTTCACCTTTGTCAATAGTGTCAAACATTTCGATGATCTTCCTTCGTGCGATGATTAATTTCTTTGACGTATGTTGCTGACGCTTCTTCGTGGCCGTTCAATTAAACGATCTTCGCATTAATTTTTGTTAATTAAAAAATTACCAAAAAGAGACGAGAAAATTATAGCTCTCATCGTTACACAGTGGGCTAAAGACCCATTATACGTTGTGCCAAAATTATAAAACTTAAAAGTTAATCTTTTTTATAGATACGAAAATGTCTATGAAAAGATTCTTTAAATCAAATACGACATTATAAGTAAATTGCAAAAATTAATTTTGCAACAATTATTATAAACAAATAATTAAATATTGACTACAGAGGAAAATTGATTACACCAACTGGTTCTATAAAAAAAATTACTGAAAAGAAACACACAATTTTTTTCAATTGTTATTTTTTTTTAACCTTGTTTGTCCAGGTTGCACGAGCTGCAACGAATTTTAATAATTTATGATTTTTTTTTCTTTTTTGCATTATTGGAAAATGGTAAGAGAAAAATTATACTGTGTGTTTCTTTTGTAACTTTTCCTGCAGAAAAAGTTGGCGTAATTGTAATCAATTTTTCTTTATAATCGATATTTAATAATTTGTTTATAACAGCGTTGCAAAATTGATTTTTAATGTGCTTTTTATGTTAAAAATGTTTTTATGCTCTCCGGTTCTGTTACCAATTATTACTTTTTTGCTAATTTTGCTAGTTTAGCCATATGCCTTAATGAGTTCAAAAAATAGAATTGAACTCATATTATCTTGACGCCTTCATCCAAGATCTAATTTTTTAAATTAAAATATATTTTCCTTCAAATCATACAAAAAACTGAAAAAAAATCAAATCTCAAGATATTTATTTTCTTGAAATACTCGAGTGCATTTATTAAGATAGGACATCTCGTTTTTAATGAAGGTTTTCATTAATAATAAATAAGAAATAACAAAAATTAAGAAATTCGTTGTAAAGCAAACATGTAAAATGTCCTTTTCCAGAAAAACTATGAAGCCTTGTGGAGCTAAGAGTAAATAGATGATCATATATGCAAAAATCAATATATTACCAATATATTGATAATATATGTGAATTAATATACATTAATATTAATTAAGAAATTATAATATTATTGTAAATTTTATATGACATTCTTTTTTTCTATGTAATCACAGAATTTATCATAACTTTGTCTGTAACTAAGAACATTAATGCAATATTTATGTTACTTGCCATTATTCGAAAATCATATAAACATGTCATTACCTGAAAAGGAGGAGAGAATTTGTATTGTTTTAATTTTATTTATATATATTATATTATCTCACAAGGTAATGAGATAATATATACGTAGAGGAAAGTCGCCGATACTGACATAGGTCTCCTAAAGTGACACCCCCTTATTTCTCAGAAACTAACACTATTGCACTTTATTAATACTAATAAAATCATGATCTGTTTAGCTAATTAAAGAAGTACAAACTCATAATTCATATATTTGTGGCTTATTTCTATACCAAATCAACTAGAAACCAATTCTATGAATCCGAGAAGAAAATTCTTACGGTGTTTTTTTGCAAATTGCGTAATTAAAATAATAGTGACTGTATTATTGATAATATTATGTCATTTTAAATGTTTAC